GGTGAAGGTTCCTTCTCCCTCTTCCCCCGACCCCTCATCCCTCCTCGGCGAGGCAGCCAGCCCGGGAGGGCTCTGATCGCAGCCCTCTCCTGTGTGCGGGGCTGCTGACATGACCGCGGCCGGGTCCCCACGCACCGGGAGCCGTGGGGAGCCGGGTGTGGAGGGGACCTGGGCTGCAGACAATGCACAGCAGCAGCATCTGGAGCAGCCCTGGGGACTGGAGCTCCGGTTCTGACATTGCTACACAGAGACGGCACCAGCCGCAATGACAGCCGCTGCCTGGAGTGGCTGGCGGGTTTGAAGTGAGGAGATCACTGCAGTGCTCAAGATGAACTCCTCTTTGGTTGGCAACCAGAGTGGCCGGCCCTTCTGTCTCCTGGCCATTAGCTATTTGGAGACCATCAATTTTTGCTTGCTGGAAGTGGTTATTATTGTGTTCCTCATGGTGCTGATTATTTCGGGCAACATTATTGTGATATTTGTCTTTCACTGTGCACCTCTGCTGAACTACTTCATTCAGACTATGGCGTATGCTGACCTCCTGGTGGGTGTGAGCTGTCTGGTGCCTTCTTTGTCTCTGCTGCACTATCCTATTGTTCTAAGTGAGTCCTTGGTTTGCCAAATCTTTGGTTATGTGGTATCAGTGCTTAAGAGCGTCTCCATGGCCTCTTTGGCCTGCATTAGTATTGACAGATACATTGCCATCACGAAGCCGCTCACCTACAACACGCTGGTTACCCCGTGGAGACTCCGCATCTGCATACTGATCATCTGGCTGTACTCCTGCCTGGTCTTCTTACCCTCCTTTCACTGGGGAAAGCCTGGATATCACGGGGATGTGTTTCAGTGGTGTGCCAACTCCTGGAACACCGATCCCTATTTTACCCTCTTCATTGTGGTGATGCTCTACGCCCCAGCTGCTTTCATCGTCTGCTTCACTTACTTCAACATCTTCCGCATCTGCCAGCAGCACACCAAGGAGATCAACGAGAGGCGAGTGCGCTTCAGCTCTCAGGACGGGGAGGCTGGGGAGGCACAGCCCTGCCCGGACAAGCGCTACGCCATGGTTCTTTTCCGCATCACCAGTGTCTTCTACATCCTCTGGTTGCCCTACATCATCTATTTTCTGCTGGAGAGCTCCAACGTCTATAGTAACCGCGTCGCGTCCTTCTTGACCACGTGGCTTGCCATTAGCAACAGTTTCTGCAACTGTGTCATTTACAGTCTCTCCAACAGTGTCTTTCAGAAGGGGCTTAAGCGTCTCTCGGGGGCTATCTGTGCCTCTTGCGTGAGACAGAGGGTAGCTAAGGACTCCTCTACCTCGAGGAGCAAAAGATCTTCCAATGGATGTCATGTCTAAGACGCCTATCAGCTGGACTGGGAAGTGCAGGGACAATTCTGTAAATTGCAAAACAAGTTAAATCCGATTTTAAGATGTCCAGATTTGCAAAAAGGTTTCTGAGAAATGCTGCTGACATAGAAGAATCAGGAGCACATATCATTGTGATTTCACTTTAAAAAAAATTATTACTGTGGAGGAGGCTGTGGAGTTTCACCTCCATATTCATTTTTAAGAATAAAACTGTATCTTGACACTTACCTCTCCAGCTGGTGTGACTGAATGGAGTGGGTGTCTGAGAGCTTCGGCAAAATGTAGTCTTTCTTACAGCTTTACTCGGTTCTTTGGAGATTCGTGCTTCACATGTAAATGATAGATCTGAAGTGGAAATGTCACAGTATATGGTATATTACAGGGATTTTTTTTAATATATGCCAAAGTATATTGACACAGTGTTCCAGCATCATAACAGAAGGGGCCAAACAAGTGGTTTTTCAGTGCTACCTAGACAGGACTTGTAGAACAGTAGTGAAGAACAGGAACGTTTTGGTATGAATTTAAAGTCAATAAGAGTCGTGAGCGCAGCGGTGTGATCTGAACAGCCGTACGGGTCTGGCTTCCGTGCCCCGTGTCTCTGGTAGGATGGATGTGTGCAGTCAGAGCACGGCATCTGCATTTTCCTGTTTGTTGTGAAGTAAGAAGAAAAACTTGGATCAGACCAAATTTAACAGTTAAATAAAATAAAATGTGTTTTGATAAGCTAAGAGAAAAATACATGTCGCTTTATGATACCGGAGCTGTGGCAGCCACGCGAGGATGATGCCAACATGTGAAAAATGATTCTCAAAGCAGTGGAGAAATGCCACGGTTTTGTATGTGGAAATTTTCTCAAGAACAACTTTAAAAATAACATGTCCCCTTTTTTTTTTTTTTTTTTTTAATCTAAATTCTTCTGATATTTTACATACTAGAACTTAAGGGGAAAGGAAAGAAAACAATTGTCTTCTAAACAGCTAAGGGAACTATGTTGTAAATTTAACTGTAGTATTTGAGTTATTCATAAGTGCACAGAGCTAAATCAGAGACGTTTTTCTTTAGCCTTCGTGGGATTAAAGATGGTTCGAATATAGTAGGAGCTAAATCCTGTTGGCAAATGCCTATCTAACTGGTCAAACAAAGTCAGGATTTGAGAAACAAAATCTCATTGACCACAGCTTTTTCAAGCTAGCTGAGATGAAATATTTTTTGATACTACAATGCTGTTAAGAAGGCATGATGGCCCTTAAATTGATTAGTTTTCCTAGAGAATATCCTTGTGTTGTTACTGATGCCATATTGGAAAATGAAAGTGAACCATGTATTGCTGTGAGAATGGATTACAGTCTGCATCATCTTATCTCCCCCTGTCCCTGGCTCAGGGATGTCACCCCGCCACACCTCTGGGCTGAGAGCAGGTGATGTGCCGTGACCATCCGCAGTTCCCTTCCTCCGCTGTGCTTCCAGTCGCTGTGCTTCCAGTCGGCGCCTTGGACTGCTGGGAGCCCGGGGAGTTGTGTGAGCTCCTGTGTTACACTTGGTGTCTACTGTTTGTTAGTCAGAATAGGAATGAAAAAATATTAGGGAAAAGTAATTTGATTTTTTTTTTTAATTGGGGTAATTCTCTTGGCCAAAGGGAAGACTCTGTTTTTGTTAAATGGTTTCAGGTCTACTGTTGTTAGAGATCAAGATCATCCTCCTCTGAGTACCCTGTCCCTCCTGCAAGCATACACGTACCCTCCTCTGGTCTGCTGTGAGCCCCGGCCTCTAGTCTTTGTGCTTTGCCCTGGAGGGTGACAGTTTGTGTCTCTGTCCCGTGTTTGCCCGTGCAGCCATCGCCACAGACCATCCTGCTCGCTGCCCATCCACGTTTACTCCAGGACAGTCTTGTGAGGCTGCCAGTGAGGAAACAACGCAGAAAAAAAGGGAGCAGTGGGATGACACGCTCCTGGCATGGCAGGTTCTTGTGTTCTCGTTGCTGATAGCCATGAGTTCCTCACAGATGTGAGCCTGTACCCCTTCCTGGGGAGGGTGCACCAGAACCCCCTTCTGTTGCTGCCCACTTTTGGTTTGAGAGCCCTGTTATAAAGCATCTTTAAGTCATATCTTGGTCTGCTTTCAACATATTTTATCCATAGTCCAAACCTCTCAAGATAAACTTCCTCCCTAGTTCACCTGAAATGTTAAGAAGAAAGGTTGTCTAAACCCTGATGCCTTCACGATGACATTTCTCACTATCCTTTGTAATAAGACAGTGTCCAGGGCCAGGGCTTGCGCCGTGACCTGTGCACAGACACCGTGGAGGGGATTTCTTTGCAGAGCTCTTGCAGTCTGAACGTTGGTTAGAGACACAGACAGCCGTGGGGGGAGCAGAGTGTAAGGGTGGAGTGAGTCATTTTTAAATGGTATAATAAGCTCACAGCACATCAGCTGCTTAATTGTTCTCCAGTGTTTTGTAGGTATTATGGCAAAAGTGGGCTTTGGGGAACAATTTAAGGTCTTTAGTCACTAATATCAAAGCGTGTGCGTGTAGTATTTTTGGAACAGCCTCTCAGGTAAACTCCCAATAGCTTTTCTGTGAGTCTTCACCTCGTCTAACATTTCCAAGTCTTGGAAGTGATGCAATCTATCACTAAAATAGCATTTTATTAGATTTAATAGAAGAAAAAAAAAATCTGCTAGAGCCTAAAACCCTAAAAATGCCAGTTTCAGGTGTAAATGGAAGCTGGAGAGCAAAGATTGATGCTTTCTTGTTTTTTTCATGGCATGAATAAAGGGTTTAAATAAATAGGAACATTGTATGCTAGTTTTTGAGAATATGGAAAGTTTTAAGAAGTGGTAAGGAGGCTAAATCATGGCATAGGGACTTAATTTGAGATGAAGCAGTTGCTACTTCAGCTGTAAGGCTAGAGTTGTACTTGAAGTGTGGTGGTTGTTGCAGATGCAGATGCACGCTTGCAGCTGTTGCTGCTCTCCAGCTAAGGGTCGGTTATAACATTCCTAACAGCCAGGCTTTTGTTCAGTTGCTTTGCTTGTCTCAACGTCTTCCTCTGCTCAGACGATTTCCTTGAGAGGTGAAAATCAGAATCTGGAAGTCTCCAAGAGATGAAGACTAAGAGGAGTTGCAGTCAATTGATGCGTTTAAGTTTCATCCAGTGTTTTTACAGACACTTTTAAATGTTGCCTCAGTAGCTTAGTTTTAGTGTCAAATATTTCTATTTTTGTCTGTGTTTAATTTATTGATTAAAAAAAATACTTTTTTTTTTTTCCTAAGTTAATTTAATGTTGGTCTAGGTTCATATGTTTTAAATATTCATAGCTTTTGAGTCTGTTGCCTTCAGTGAAGTTGCACGGGGGTGAATCTTGTTCGCTGTGCTGACTGTGAAAGAAATGATTTTGAAATGCATGACTTTGTTTGCTCAGCAGTGTCCATTTAACATCCTTCGGCATACAGTTAACGTGAGGCGCAGTAGTCCTTCTCATCACAGTCTGTGCTAGGAATTGTTAGGCAGCAAACTTTCCAGTTGGATCACTTTCATCATTGTACATGTGAAACGAATGCTTTCTCGGCTCTGTTTGTACGTGTGTGCCTGGTGCTTTGGAAATTGGTATCAAGAGCATTGTGCAGATGATGCCACAGCGAGGAGAATACAAAAATCCAATTACATCTTCATAAAAATTGTGTGTTGCCATATGATGAAATGAACTAATTTTGAAGTTCCATCTCAGACTATAATTTTATTTTTTTTTATTAGGATTATCTGCCTCACTTTCGAATTAAGCTGCTAGAAGGTTCAATTTTCAGGATACAATTCAGTGGCGTTTTTTTAGTACCACGGCAAGGATTTCTATATGCACAACTTCTCAGAACGTGATAATTTACTTCATCTAGAACTATTGATTTTTATTTTTTTTTAAGTTTACTGGAAGTTTAGATGGTGATTATATTGCCATTTTCCAAATAGACTGGCAGAAAATCTGTGAAAGACTATTTTTTATAATCTCCAATCAAGTGACAGTATTTTTTAACTCAACAGATATCTTTGGTGTGAAACAAAAGTTTTGCTGTTATCTACTGTTAGGTTTTTTTTTTTTAATTAAATGTTCCTAGTTTCTACAGTCTTTATTTGCTGTTAGGGGTTTTGTACTTGTTTTTAAGCTTCTTATCACTGAGAAATTTGTTTCTACTGCTTGGAATTCTGGCATGGCTCAGTGTCAGAGTGCCAAGGGGCAATCTTGAATATTTGTCACAAATCTCTGACGAGAAGGAAGTGGTACGAAGTACTGAGGCACAGAGAATCTCAAGAGTGTTGCATGAAGAGTCTTTCTTACAGCAGAGACTTGAATGAGAATTTACAGATTTCAGTCTCACACTGCATCTCTCTGGCATTGTTCCTTTCCCCCTCATACGAAGGTTTTATCTGTCAGAAGTCCTGAATTTCAGCAGTTTGTTCTGAAAAAGACACTTCCAAGGCATGTATGTGATGTGAGAGGGAAACATTCAGTATGCAAATTTGGTAAGCAGGTTGGGGTTTTTTTATATATTTATTGTGGTGTTACCAACTGCTGTGATGATAGCAGGTGTATTGAACCTTCATGAGTCAGGGAATCTGAAACATTTCAGTCTCCACGTCAGGGTTTGAAGTTGACAGAACTTCTAGTCCTAATTCAGGTCGGTGCTTTCAAAACCATACTTCTTAAGAGCTAATATCTGAGCGTAGGAGGCTACCTTTGGACATTACAAACAAAAGGCCCATTTAATCTTTTTCCAATTACTTGATTCATCTAGTGTAGGTAATTTTAATTTAATAAGAGGGAGTGGAGGTTTTGAAGGACTTTTGGTTTTGTTTTAACATGTTTTTGGCTCTGGGTACTTGAAGCACCTGCTAAAACATTTGCCCGACCTGGCCTTTGTTTTGTGGTTTAGTTGAGAAGCTTTTTTCTTCCCTTCCGTGACTTTGCAGAATACAATGACACATCCTTCCGTGGTGTCATTGAAGAGAAACTTGAATTTTACCTCAGTACCAACACTATCTGCAGTTGGCAAAGCACATGTTTGTAACTGATGTTCTGCTGAGATCCAAGAGGTGTAAAGGCCTCTGTGGTTTTCACACTGAAATGGAGGAAGAGCAGCTGTCTTCCCTTATGCAACTTAAAGGAGCGGACACTTTGCAAACCCTGGGGTTGTTCTCTTGAGGCTTCTCTCTTGAGGAGAAATGACCAAGCCGAGTCCCCGTGTTCCTCTGGTGAAATCACTGCCTCCTCCCTGCTGTCTCAGCTGGCCCTTGTCTTTCAATCTGTTTTTTCTCTTCTCTTTCCGTTCCTGTTACTGAAATTCAGAGCTCTAGCGAGCA